CCCTTTTATACCCTAAATCATTGATATGTGTAACAAAACTATTTTATAATCACATGATTAATAAAATTCAAAAATTACAGGCGGCGAAGCCGCCCACGTGCACATTCTCTAGTTATTATTATTATTATTATAAATATCTTCATTTGCATAAAGATCATCATTACTATCTTCACAACTATCTAAAGTAGCTACTTTAGATATATAAAGTAGTACCCGACTCAAGCAGATCTTTATACATGCATTAATTTATAATTCCGGTCATATGCTACTTTTGATATCTGAAGTAGCTACAACTGAGTACATTATCATTTCGGCAATCCTTAATTTTTATGGTTGATATGTATATAAAACAAATTACATATAAAATGATCAGCAAAAATTCTCGCGTATAGTACGTACAGTACTGTACGCGGCACATCTTTATCTAGATGTAGGTGAATGACACAGGGAATTGTTTTTCGAGGAAATGAGCGTAACCCATTTGACATATATTAAATAATTTGACCAAAATTGGCACAAGTAATGCAATAGGGGCGTCGGTGGCACCCCACTTCACTTGTATTTAGTATAAATTGACTAACTTGTGTAAACATATAAGTGTAACCCCTAAAAATATCAGTTGTCTATCATTGGATTTTATACATATATATTTGAAATAACGATAAGGATCAGCATTAACTATCTTTTGTAGAGATGTCACAAGAAAGTTCCAATGGTAGAGCGATTTTTCTTTCAGACAGGGCGAGACCTTTGGCAAATTATCCTCATGCCCGAGTCGCTGGAGGATTAATCTTTGTATCTGGTGTATCTTCACGAAGGCCTGATAATACGTGAGAATCTAACACATTGAACACTTATTCAATTAATTAAAATTTTAAAAAAACTTCTAATTGTATTTATTTAGATATGAAGGGGTAAGTTGGAAAGCACAAGTTCGGTCTATTCAGTTTACGCAGCTCACCCCCAAAAAATTTCCCCGCACGTGATCAAATTTAATCAAAACAATCGAATTAAGCGCAAGATTTAAAGCATTAAAACCTTATTGTTAGAGTTAGTTTAGGGTTAGAGAAGAACTTGCTATCTACTAAAATTTTGCAAGGAATTTTTTTTATTAGAGCATCGAAGGCGGTTTCATATACGAAAATTTGAGTTATCGACAATTTTCTTGAAGAAACGTGAATTTCACGTTACACCTGATCTTGTGATTTGATTGGTCACCATCACGTGCGGGGAAATTTTTTGGGGGTGAGCTGTATAACTTGGTCGATTCTAAAAGTAAAAAGGTATCAAGAAAATTTCAATGAATAGAAAGCTGTTCTCAATAGGTAAAGGAGCTTCCCGGTGGAACGTTAGAACTTGATATTCGAGCGCAAACAAAAGCTGTAATTGAAAACTTGGAAACAATCCTTAAAGAAGCGGATGCATCATTAAAAAATATTGTAGATTTGACAGTCAGTACAGCGGCTTAATGCTACATATGCTTGGCCAGGTGCGAATATTTGTTCGTCTAGGTTTAGTGATACATC